CATCATTCTTTTTATTTATTTCTTTGTTTGTTTGTTTTTGCTACATCATCATTCTGAAACCTCTATATAAGCCTGGTTGCCCCAAATATCAGGGCCTTTTCATTAGCTTCTTGCTAACAGGGCCCGTGTTGCTTTCTCATGTAAAATAAAAGCTCCCATTGGCTACAGAGAATGTGTAAGTGAATTCTTTCACACCCGAACTGCTCTCCCAAATCTGATCTCAACATCAACATGTAATGGGTTTATTATTCTTTTGAAATGAATGAATCAATAATGGAGTTTCACATGCATGTTCATTTCTCTTGTAATAAGTCTAGCTGCAATGCATGCCTAATGGGCTTGTGATTTTTTTTTGGTTAATAATACATAGTTTAAAAATTTATCAGTTTTAATATCTAATATGGTAAATATAGACAGATATAACCCACATTAACAAAACTCTTTGGGAACCTCAATAATTTTTAAGAGTGTAAAGGAATCTTGACACCAAAAAGTTTGAGAATCACTGCTCTAAGGACTGGCTCTCATTGACCAGTCCTTCCATTATTTTTCCTTCTTTCCTTCCTTTGTTTTCTTTCTCTCTCTCTGTTTGTCTCTCTCTCTCTCTCTTTTTCCCAAGAATAGCAGCACCCTATAGGTCACTGGCACTGCTTCCAGCCTTGCCCCTGCTTTCATTAATAGGGAAGTACGTCTTCCAGAGAATCAACCTAACAACTTCCTCAGAATGTACTTTTCCCCTAATACTAGTACATAATCATCCTATAAGAATTGTCTACTTCTGTTTTAAGGTGAAATTCTTGAAATCAAGGACTGTCTTGATTTTCTAGCTCTAACCCCACAAGGTTTGGCACATAGTAAATAATTAATACTTATTTATTCATTCACTTATTTCATCTTCACAACAACCCTATGAGTCACATACTAGTGTATTTATTTTACAAATGAAGAGACTAGGGCTACGAGAGCTTAAGTGACTTCCCTAAGGTGAACAAAACTAGTAATACCTAAGGCAATATTTGAACCTAAGTTTTAGTGATTCCAAGTCCAGTCCACTATCTACTCCCCACACTGCCACCACTACTTCTCAAAGTGGAATGAGTATCCCATTATATTCTGGCTCAGGCAGACCACATTTAGAGTAATAGGTTCTGTTCTGGGTGCCATATATAAGCAAGAATGTTGACAAGTTGGAATGTTTCCAGAGAAGAGTGACCAGGATGATAGGAGACTAGAAAGTATGCCATGTGAGTATTACATTTTGTGCTAAAACAAAAAAGGGATCCTTTCACACAGATCTGGTTATACCATTCCTTTACTCAAAACCATTTAATGTTTTCCTGTTGCCTACTGTATAAAGTAGATACACCTTTTGCACAGGTGTTCACCACATCATCACTCCCCAACATAAACCAATACCTAGGGACTATAGGAATGAGAGAAAAATTCCTGAGAAAGGGTGCTAGGACACAAGAGGGAGGCAATCCCACATCCAAATGGAAGGCTACTTGATAAATCTAGGCTGAGCTGGATTATTGGAGTTCAGCTGGATTTTTGGAGAAACTGCAAACTGATTCAGCAGCAAAGATGGGATAAGTTTCCTGGTGGGGTGAGGGAGGAGAAGGTGGAGAACAGAGCTAGGAAGGTCAAGATGGGACCCAACATATTCTGATTTACAGAATGGTTATATGCCTCAGGTTGAAGGCACTGTCTTCAGGTTTAGGGTTTCATATGAAGAAGGGTGGAGAAGCAATGAATGGTACCTTTTAGGCAGTATAATAAGACCATATTTCTGAGGGTTGTGGCAAAGATTGGTCCTTGAGTTCAGTAATAGATGGGGTAGAGAGTGAGAGGAAATGTGAATTAGGGGGTTGTTTGCAGTATGGAGTTGGATACCATTCATAGAGGTTACAACAAATTAGCTGGAGTCAGGGAAAGGGGGCTTGCTAATATCTAAATAAATCTATGAATGGGTGCAGTTAATAGATTGTGCACACACATACATAACTTATTTTCAGATTAAGTTAATCTTAAAACCCTGGAATATGTGCTTCTCTCCCCCAGCATTGGTAAATTCCTACTGGAATCTCCATTTTGAGGAAAGACCTAGGCCAACCATTCCTTTTTTGGTTCCTTGAGAACAGAAGTGTCTTTCTTTTTGTTTGTGTTTGTATTTCCAGTGCTTAGCTCTATACCCGGCACATAGTAAGCACTTAATAAATGCTTGTTGACTTTGATCATGGTTTAAGATGGAAATCAGGGGGCAGCTAGGTGGCACAATGAATAGATCACCGGCCCTGGAGTCAGGAGGATCTGAGTTCAAATCTAGCCTCAGACACTTGACACTTACTAGCTGTGTGACCCTGGGCAAGTCACTTAACCCCATTGCCTAACAAAAACAAAAAATAGATGGAAATCAGACCTCCAACTGGGTGGTGGTAGGGAGAGTGTAGAAATACTTTGAAAAGTAAGCAGGATGGAGTTTTTCTACTTTTATGGACACAGTTTCTAACCTCTAGCCTCCCTTTCATTCCTCCTCCTCACGTCTTCCCCTCAGACCCTGGTTTTTTTTTTTTTTTTTACTTTTTTGGTGAGGTGATTGGGGTTAAGTGACTTGCCCAGGGTCACACAGCTAGTAAGTGTTAAGTGTCTGAGGGTGGATTTGAACTCAGGTCCTCCTGACTCCAGGGCCGGTGCTCTATTCACTGGGCCACCTAGCTGCCCCTTCAGACCCTGTTCTTGATCCTGACTCAGCCCTCAGGTTGGAGGCTATAGTTCTTGGGAAGAAGTAGGTCTTTTCCTTTAGGACAAGGCTCTGAAAGAGATACATAGTGCATAAGAAAGTTGGCAAGATGCATTCAGCCAGCTGGAGACTGCAGACCCTCCTTGCCAATTATTTCTCAGTGGGTTCCTTGGCCTCCCCTGGGGCCACCGCCTGGGGGCGCCCACAGCAGGCATCTGGGACTGCTGCTCTCCCTGCTGTTGTTATTAGCATAATTAATAAACAAGCACTGATGGGGCCAAGTAGGGGAAGTGACAGCAGGCTTCGGTTGCTCACAAAGAGATTCCCTAAAAGAGATGGGAGCAGGGAGGGCTGGCTGGGATGCTGGGAGGGATAGGGGCTTCACTGATTTCTTGAAGAAAGAAACCTGGGAGGGTGAGGTATAGGCTGGAGGAAAGTTTTAGAGGCAGAGAGAGGGACAGAGGAAGAGAATAAAGAGGAAATAGCCTGAGTTTGAGGAGCTAGCTCTGCATCTGTGTAACAGGATGTTTGTGGGCATAGCCACCCCCATGATTCCTGGTGGCGGGGCAGGCCAAAGTCATGAAGCAATCATTCATTCACTCATTCATTTTTTCAATTAGTAAATACTATATCTATTGGGTGCCTACTATGGACAAAGCATTGTATTAGATGCTGTTTACCATCAATTTTTCGTTCCATGTGGTCCAGGAAATGCAATGAGGATGGGAACAGGGATCAGAAGAGCAACTGGGAAGACTGGCAACAGAAAAGGGGCATTTCAACTTCAATCACGGACTTAAGATTACAATAACAGCTGACACTTTAAGTTTTGCAAAATGCTTTATGTACCTTATCTTACTCGAGCTTCATAGCAACACTGTAAGGTTGGTGTTATTATAACCCCCATTTTACAGACAAGTTTTGAAAATGAGGCTCAGAGAGGTTCAATGACTTGCCCAGGATCATCCAGCTCCTAAGCATATGAAATAGGATTTGAACCTAAGTTTTCCTGACTCCAAGTTCAGCACTGTGTCAAAACTTAGGGATTGCAGAGGGTCTTACTTGAGGAGTCCAGGATTGTAGGATGCTAGGGTAAAATAATTGGAGAGAAAGAAAAAAGAATGTTTTAGGATAGGAAAATTTTGCTGTACATTATTAAAGGGACTCAGGGACAGAAAATGAGCTGTGTAAGCTGTTGGGCTGAAACAGGGTTCATGATGGAGACTTTAGAAGATAATCGAAGGTGCTAGGATCTAGGGTGTTGCAATTCAATTCAACAAGCAAATGCTATTTGTGTATATTATATACAAGGTACTACTGTGCTAGGTACCTGGGATGCATATAAAAAGGATAAAAGCAATGCCTGCCCTTAAGGAGCTAACATTCTGCAGGAAAGCAAGAGGATTTAAGTAAATATAAAATAATTTGAGGAGGCACTGAAATCAGTTAGTTGCCAGTGACCCGTGCATCTCATGGCTCAACTAGTGTTATCTGGGAACTGTGGTATGCCTAGAGATGTCTAGTAGGGCCAGAGTGTGGGTAGGGGAAAAAGGGGGGACGGGGACTGTAGGATAGTTCTGGAGTGGGAGGGGGATAAGGTGAAGCTTTAAGAGAAGAATCCTAAAGTGTTGTTTGTGAGAATATGTTGGAATGTCAGGGGAAATAGTGGGACTATGGACCAGGACATAAGGGGATACCAGCTGCAGTTAAAGCGAGTACCGATGGGGGATTGGAGCCAGAGGGGGTATCTGAGTGTTGGGGTGAGGCTTTCAGGACCGTCCCGCCGGACTAGAACGCGAGAGGACTGGCGTGGGGTTGAGGGGAGGTGGTTGGCCAGAATGGGGGTGGGGGGTGGGAAGTGAGCCGCTCAGAGGCTCCGCGGGGGGGCGGTAGGAGCTCGGGGCTGCAGCCGGCCCGGGCCGGGCTGGGCCGGGCCGGGGGAGGAGGCGGTGGCTCCGGGAGAAGACCATGAATCAGCGGCGACGGAGGCAGCGGTGGTGGCGGTGGTGGCGGTGGTGGCGGTGGCGGCGGCGGCGGCGGCGGCGGCGGCAGCGGCGGCGGCAGCGGCAGCAGCAGCAGCAGCAGCAGCAGCGGCCGCGAGCTCGCGCCGGGGACTTGGCGGTGGGAGCAGCTCCGAGTGCGCGCGGGTCTCCCCTAGCCCCGGGCAGCTGCGGGCTCGCAGGTTCCCGCCCCCTCGGTCCCCCCGCCCCTCGCCCCCGCCCCCTCCGTCGCGGTCCGGGCCGGGCCGGGCGGGCATGGTGCGGCGGCGCCGCGGATGGCGCTGAGGCGGAGCATGGAGTGGCCGCGGCTCCGGCTCCGGCTCCGGCTCCGGCTCCGGCTCCGGCTCCGGCTCCCGCAGCTGTTGCTGGCGGGACTGGCTGCGCTCCTGTTCCCGGAGCTCCCAGCCGTAGGTAGGAGCTGGGGTCTGGGGGTGGGGGCGGCTGGGGCAGCAAAGCCGGGGACCCAGGAGGGACTGGAGCGGAGCAAAGGCGGGCGGGCGGGCGAGGGTCTGGCTCCCCGAGCCCGGGACTGGGTAGCCGAGGCCTGCGGGGCCGGACGTGGGGCGGCCGGAGGGGCCGAGGCGGGGGTCTCGGGGGCCATGGTGGCAACGGAAGGCCGAGCGAGCAAGCACTGGGGAGGAGGAGGGCGGCAGCCATGGGCATCTGGCCGCCTGTGTCCCCACCCCCAACTTTCTCCTCTGGGTTGGACAGAGTAGCAGTAGGGGAATCGGTCGGGGGTCTGCAGGCGGGGGACTGGGCTCTTGATTTTCCCGCCTCCTCCAGGGGGAACAGTTTCTTTCTTTCCTCGGGAGTCCTAGGAACCCTCACCCTCTCACACATACTGTACACACAGGTCCCCTTCTTAGCCACAGCTACCTAGTACCAAAGGGGGTACCCCCACCCCCACTCCGGATATCTCAGGTATGTAGGATTTGCAGTTGGTGGGAAATGTGATACCCTGGCGCCCAGCCCCATGCAGGAACACAACACACATTTGATCACAAGGAAACATTTGGGCACACCCTTGATAAAAACCACTCCAGAATGTGGGCGAAGACACCTGGGAGAATTTTAGAACCTTTGGACTGAGTGGTTTATCAAGTGTGGGGCTAAGTCCAAAGCCTCTGCCAGTACTAGCACCAATTTAGGAACCTCATTCTCAGATTTGCTGGAGTCACAGGGCAAGTCTGGAAGCGGGACTCTGGTTCTCAAACTCTCAGACCACACCCCCCTGCACCGTGCTTGAGGGCTGTAATGGGGGTGCATTCTGCTATTTGGGGTGATGACAGCCTAGCGTCCTTGGACATCACGGACTGCCTGAGCAATGAGTAATTGTCCTGTGTATCCCACCTTCCAGCTCTCTGGTGAAGAGAGACAGCAGAAGTGTCTTTCAGGCTTCCAGCAGAGAACCTTATACCCAGAGAGAGAGAGAGAGTGTCAGGGTCTCAAAGCAAAGGAGAAGAGAAAAAAATTAGAAATGGAACTCCAATATCCATATACACAACCTCTCTCCACCAAAAAAAAATATGTGGGGTCGGAAGAGAGGGTTTGTCTTTTGAGCAGTGGAATTCTACCACTTGCCGAGGTTTGGGACACTAGAGAATTGTGCTGTGGAAATATAGTGTGGTGTACTGAAAAGAGCTCTGCATGTGTAGTTAGGAAGTATGTGTTCGTTCTAAACCAGCTGTGAAGAGATCATAGGTGACTTAACTCTGAGCCTCAGTTTCTTCATCTACAAAATGGGAGGAATAGTACCTGCCTTATAAGAGTTGTTATTGTTAGGATCAAATGAAATGTTTGTAAAGAGCTTTACAAACTAGGCTTTATATGTGTCGGTTATTATTACATTTCAGCTGAGGAGAAAGGGTTTAGAGGTCTGGGATTGACCCATAATCCCAGTAGGGGTGCCTGCCCATTCTACTAAACTCACTCTTCCCTACTTCACAGGTCTTTCACTCCCACAGCCTTCATCCATTCAGGTATTAACAGAGTAGATGGATGCCATGTATATGATCTGACATGTTTCTGCAAACATATGGTTATCTGCTTCTAGGGAACACTTCCCTCCTCCTTTTTTCTTTCTTTTATTTGGCAAGGTGGGGTGGAGAGAGCTAACTCTAACAGAATGGGGAGTGAGTCCCTCACACAGGGTTGCAGAGTTAAGGAGGCACAGAGATGGAGCATCTTCTAAGCAGTTACTCTAGTTATTCTCAGGGCAGCTTCCAGCCACAATCTGAGTGAGAATTTCTTACCACCTTCCAGTTCTGCTACAGCAATCTGGAACCTGAGTGGTGATATGCTGTTCACCAGACCCACTACCTCCCCAGTTAGGAGTTGGGAGGGAAGGGGAGATGCTTAGACATCATTCTGACATGAGCCTGGCTCACCTTTCCTCCTAGGCAAGCATGGCTAGAGGCAAAAAGAGGAGAATCAGCATTGCTTAGCAGATAGGACTGGTAGAGAAGGTGTTTCCGGGGAGCTGGTACTGGGAGAAACTGCACCCAGAGAATTTGTCTTACATCCTTTCTTCTGATGACTGGATCTATGCCACCTCTCCTCTCACGCCTTTATACCAGTTGTTCATTCTTGCCGGTGTACGTGAGGATATGGATCCTAAGTGGTGGAACTTGGTCCTAGAAACGGGCCTGAAATAGTCCCAGAAATGGGACTAGGGCATAGGGGGCAGAGCAGTGGGCACTGTCCCTTTCACTCTTAGCCATCTGAGTTTTACTTCCCCTTCTCTCAGGCTTGAAGCTCATTGGGGCCCCTCTGAAGCTGACGGTATCTCAAGGGCAACCAGTGAAGTTGAACTGCAGTGTAGAGGGATTAGAGGACCCTGAGATCCAGTGGGTCAAGGATGGAGCTTTGGTGCAGAGTGTGGACCAAGTCTACATTCCTATCAGTGAGCAGCACTGGATCGGTTTCCTCAGGTACAGGACAGAAAGGGGACTGAGAACATCAGAGAATGCTTCTTAAAGATGATGTTATTTGAGTTGGGCTTTAAGGGATGGGTAAGATTAAGTAGAGAAAGTTGGTCTTATGAGATGCAGACTTTGAGGTTTTGTGATGATTTCTTTTTGTTATGAAATCCCAGGGTTTTATTAGGCTTCTTTTGAGAACTTTGAGAGAAGGGACTTAAGCATCCCTTAGGGTCTGGCTAGCAGGGCTGCCCCCTCCCTCTCCTACGGTGGTGAACTGAATTCCTTGTCCTCACTGCAGCCTGAAGTCAGTAGATCGATCTGATGCTGGGCGGTACTGGTGCCAAGTGGAAGATGGGGGAGAAACAGAGACATCCCAGCCAGTGTGGCTTACAGTAGAAGGTGAGGAGGGGGTTGATGGAATAGCCTGGACACTCTGGCAAGAAGGGCATGACCATGCCCAGAGCCCCTGAAAGCAGATGGGGAGGCTGCATTCTCTTCCTGCTTAGCTCAAGGATAAGCTATGTTACCCTGGTGTTCCATCTACCCCTGGCAACACGTGGCCTCAGAGGGAAACAAGGTCTCTGACTTCCCAGGTCAGCTTCAGGCATAGGTAGATACCCCCAAAGCTTGGAGTCTGTTCAAGCAAAGCTTTAGGGAACATCAGGGGACCCTGTGATACGCCACGGATGAAGGCTCTCTCTGTTCTTTGGGCAGCAAGCCTAATGCACCCTGTCCCTGGCCGGACTCTGCCCTGACTAGCTTGTCTGGGACCAGGGGAAGAGTAGAGGAGCAGGGGGGAGGGGGAGGAGGAAGATTTGCAGCTGCAAGAGCTCAGTTCTGCTCAGCTGAAGAAAACAAAGTGACTAAGAAGTAACAAAGGACTTGGAACTGTAGCTGGGGCTAGGGCTGGGGCCTGCCAGCACAACCAGGCAGCAGCTCCCCCACCTCCCCGCCCCTGCAAGCCCTCCTTCCTTCTCCCTTATTCTTCTAGGAACTTTGATATAGCAATGCTCCAGAGAGGGCGTGATGTTTGTCGAGGATGCCTTCTGTGCATGGGAAGGGGAGGAGAGGAGGAATGAATGGGGGGCTCGCTTCTACCATGGGACCCACAGCTTTGTGGGGGAGGGCCTTCTTCCATAACCCAGAGAACAGCAGGAGCCCCTTTCCTTTGGAGATTTGTTTATTTCACATTTAACCAAAAAGTTCTTGGGGAGCCTTCTGTTTTGGGGATCCCTTTATACTTATGATACAGGAGTGTTAGTATGTTTAAGGAGGTGACAAAAATCAGCCTCTGCCCACTCCCCTTTCTTCCTAGGTGTGCCATATTTCACTGTGGAGCCAGAGGATCTCACGGTGCCCCCTAACGCTCCTTTCCAACTGTCTTGTGAAGCGGTGGGGCCCCCTGAACCTGTGACCATCTTCTGGTGGAGGGGGGGCACGAGGGTTGGAGGACCGGCCCTCTCTCCCTCCATTTTGAATGTTACAGGTGAGCTCACTCTCTGGAAGGGAGAAGAGAGGGCCAAACTTCTCTGGGAGTAAGCCAGCCCTTGACTGTGACTTGGGAAGTTGACAGGAGAGGGGTAGTTGTCAGAGGAGCCCTCCTCCTAAGTCATGTCCCTGAGTTTCTCCTGGATAAGTAGTCCCAAGCTTCCTGACCCTTGGTGTCTTTCTTACTGCGTGCGCTGACAGAAAGGTGTGTTTTTTCTGGGCAGAATGCACCTATTTGTAGTAGCTCACACTGTGAAAGCAGAGGTAGGGTCCCCCCTTGTTGACAATGGGGACAAAGCAGGCACAATCATCCCTGAGAAGAGGATAGGGGGACTTGTTGCAGCCCCACCCCCCAAGGAAGGAATCAGAAGTCAGCCCATGTTCGAGTAGGAGGAAAGTCTGGCAGAAGGGGAGAAGCCATACGGTAGCTTTTTTACCCTGATCAGTTTCTTCATCTAATCAATCCCTTTCCCCCTAAAAAGCCCTACTCCCAATCATATCCATATAGAGGCACGGTAGTATATAGAGTGCTGGACCCAGAGTCCAGAAGACTTGGGTTTGAACCCTGCCTTAGAAAGCTTACTGGCTGTGTAACCCTAGGCAAGTCACTTAAACCTGTCTGTTCCTCAGTGTTCTCATCAATAACGAGGCTTCTAGGAAATAATGTGCATTTTTTATATCATAAACCTTAATGGGCTGTTTAAATGTGAGCTGTTATTATTATTGTACCCTGATGCATCTGCATACACATCACTGCATTTGTGACACACCTTTTCGTGAACAAGATCTGCATTTTCTCATTGAATTTTGAGGTGGGGGGTGGGAGGAAGAGGATGGAAACCAAGCTCTGAGTGAGTTTGGCAGGGAGTGGGAACGGGTTTTGTCTGGGTCAAATTTCACAAGTCTCCAAACTGCTGAGGGTCTTGAGAAGAAAGCAAGAAGTGGGAGGGCTGCTGGTCCTAGTGGGTGGGAGTTGAGGAGAAGAGACTGTCGTCAGCCACGGATAATGCTGGGCTGACAGGTGGGAAGTGTCTGGCTTTCCAAGATGAGACCAGTGATGGAGGTAAAGGGGTCGGGCGACAATATTGGGATAGACAGTCTTTAAGAGAGGAAATCCAGGCTCTCCTCAGGTTTTATTTGATTAGAAGCTGGAAGAGAAGCCTTTAGTCAAGAAGCGTGTATTGCATACTTGTTCCTAATACCTGCAGATCATATTAGGCACCATAGTGGGACACAAAAGACCTTGAAAACATAGTCCCTTCGCCCAAGGAGTTTACAGTCTATTTGGGGATGCATAATAAAGAGATTCAGAGTGCAATCGTTAAGCCTAGAATATGGAAGGGTAGATTAAATACCAAAGGCCAGGTGGGATTGACAGTGAGGAGGAAATTTAGCATCTCTTTCCTATAGATTGAAGGACTTCTGGGGCCATTCTTAACTCCTTGTCATTTGACCCCCAGGATCTGAATTATCCCCTCCCCTCATCTCTTCACCAGTTCTGTAAACCCACACATCACCTATTCCCAGGCTCAGTGGCCACCTTTAGGCTGACCAGGTTTTTCTGTGTGGCCCCCAGGGGTGACCCAGAGCACTGTGTTTTCCTGTGAAGCCCATAACCTGAAAGGTTTGGCCTCTTCCCGCCCAGCCACAGTCTATCTTCAAGGTAAGAAGTGTGTGTGTGTGTGGGGGGGTGTACAGGGGTGGGGGTGGGAGCTCCCAGCCAATGTGGAGTGAAAGATTATAATTTCGAGAAGAAGCTTTACCTCTTGGCCTCAAGCTCTTCTCACTCCTGAAAGCCTTCTTGGCTGAGGTCTCTGGGAGGAGGGGCTACTACTTGGCATATGTCCCCAGCCCCTGTAGTGGGAGCACCTGAGGCACAGCCATAGCTGAGATGAGAATAGAAACCTGACGTCACAGAGCAGATTCCCCATCACGAAGCCGATTCCTTGGGAGGGAGGAACAGCTGGAGCTGGCCAGGACTCAGGCTTGGCCTCTGCCTCTTTTATCCCTTTCAGAGGGAGGAATGGTGGTAGTGGAGTCTGCTCAGGTTGGTGATCAGTGGGGTGTTGTTGGATTTGACTTTGCCTCTAAAAGGAGGGATGTGAAAAATGGGCTCTTTGAGAGAGAGAAAGAGAGAGAGTGAGTGAGTGTGTGTGTGTGTGTGAGAGAGATACCTATACATGGCAAAGCCAGACTGCTGCTGGAACAGATGTGTCATTTACATATGTGGAGTCTGAGTTTCTCCCCTCCCTGCCCCCGCATCACTGGCCTTGGTCGGGCAGGCTTCTGGTTGCAGAGACTACTTCACAGAGATGGCCTCATGCTCTGTTCCAGGCTCTGTTCCAGGCATGGCAGCTATTCTGTGTTTCCTGCTATGACAGAGAGACACAGAGAAAGACCTGCACTCATGCGGGCTCCTTCTGAGCTCTAGCAGAGTCCCCGATGTGTTAGGTGCTAAATAACTCATGCATTGGTTGAAATGCTCATCAGTGGTGGGAAGGGGAAGGAAGATTCCTTAAGATTTAACTAAAGGATGCATTAGCTCAAGGCTTAAAACCTTGGTTATTTTTCCTTCTTGTCTCCTAACCCTCCTGCCCCATGTTCTCTTTTGTTGAGCTCCCTGACTTTGTGGCTTCTCTTCTTTCTCAGAGGGAGGGTGGGACAGGAAGAGAGAGAGCCCTCTAGAGCAGTCACTATGACTGGAGGCATATGCATATGGGGGTTTTGAGGAGCCATATTCAGTCTTAAGATATTCCAATGAGGGGGGCACAGCCCACAAGGAGTCTAAGGAAGCATCTGGGGACTGTAACCCACAATGAAAGGATGAGAGGCAGAGAAGTCAGGAGACATTTAAAAAAAAATAATAATAAACCTCTCAGACCACCATAGGTTGACTCCAGATCTCCGTCCCCCTCTTGCAGCACTTCCAGCAGCACCCTCTAATGTAACAGTGACCCGGCTATCTAGCAACAATGCCAGTGTAGCCTGGATTCCTGGCTCTGATGGCCGAGCTCTGCTCCACTCCTGCACAGTCCAGGTATAGTTCTGGGAGGGCCTAGTCTGGGGAAAGCTGAAGGTGGAGATTACAGGACTGCCCTGTTCTGTCTGTCAGACTAGCACCTGGTCAATGATGAGTCACGGTCTTGTGACCAGTCCTCACTAGGCTGGAGCTCTGTACTGCAGCAGGACCCAGATGGGTGGCCAAGGTGTATTCTCTCGTCAGAGTATGCTTTGTGCATTCGTGGGGGATCCTTCTGAGCTCCAGCAGAGCCCCGATGTGTTAGGTGCTGAATAACTCATGCATGGGTTAAAATGCTCCTCTCTGCTGGGGAAGGGAGGGAAGATCCCTCAAGGAAACATTGGTTCAGGGCTAAAACCTTGCCTGTTTTTCCTTCTTGTCTCCTACCCTTCCTGAGCTCTTTGACTTTGTTGCTTCCAAACCTTCTTTCTCTAATTTCTGTGCAGGTAACGGAGGCCCCAGGAGGCTGGGAGGTCCTGGCGGTCGTGGTTCCAGTGCCACCTTTCAGTTGTCTGCTTCGGGGCCTAGAACCTGCCACCAACTACAGCCTACGGGTTCGATGCACCAATGCCTTGGGGCCTTCCCCATATGCAGACTGGGTGCCCTTCCAGACCCAGGGTCTGGGTAAGAGGACTTGGAGCAGCAGGGGCTTGAGAGAGCCAGCGTCTCAATTGTGGAAGTCTATCCAGAGAGGGAGGTGTGACCTTGGGCAAGTCACAACTCCTACACTTCACTTGCCTCATCTGTAAAATTGAGGGTTTGGACCGAAGTCCTTATCAGCTCAAAAATTCCAGTGAAAGGATGATGACATACCTTGGTGACCTATATTGTCTTTTTTTTTTACCCCATCCTCCCAAACAGTGTATAGCCTGTGCGGTTTCCCTGTCTTCCTCCAGAGCAAAGAGTGTAGCAGGAACCTAGAATAGTGGACATTGAGACCAGGGAATGTGGGCAAAGATTAGGCCAGAAGACCAGACCCTCACCCTCTCCACTTTCACCACCTCCATCCTCACTCCAGACAGTAGGCACTCAATGCTATTTGTTTTCTGGAAACTCAACAGGTAGGATCTTCATAGAGAAAGGGGTAGGGAGGCTGTGGTGGAGGTTTGAGGTCTGAGTGATGCCTTGGTTGTTTCTCTTTTGTGTCCAGCCCCATCCAGTGCCCCTCAGAACCTCCATGCCATCCGAACAGACTATGGTCTGATCTTGGAGTGGGAAGAAGTCATTCCTGAGGGCTCTAGTGAGGGCCCCCTGGGGCCCTATAGAATATCCTGGGTTCAAGAAAATGGGACTCAGGTAAGGGTTGAAGAACCCCTAAACCACTCTTCCTGGTCTCCTTGGCTCTCCCTCTCCCCCCAGGCCAGGAACTGGCAAAAAAAGATGGGCTCCCTGTTTCCAAGTCCATTTGGGACCTAAGTGCTGCTTTGACCATGACCCACCCCCTACTCTTAGCCCAGAAGGGGATTTTCTCAGAAATCATCAGGTCATTTCTCAAGCTTACACCTCCCTAGGATTCTACCAAGGTTGCCACTTTGTATGCAAAGCAGGCAACACATTCCTGCATGGACTGGGGGAGGATACAGATAGTGCTGTGCCTCCCTCCCCCAGTCTTTGGTTCCTTTGTCCCCATCCCCCACCTTTGCAACTGAGATGAAACGTTTGTGTTGGTGGAAAGGCTCCCCAAACCCTTGAAGTGAGGAATGTGATGGACTCCCTGTAAGTTGTAAGATTGACCCACCCTAAGTCTCAGCCTCCAGCTCAGCCATCATTCTGCTTGCCTTAGCTCTGTGGTTACTTCCTCAAGTTTTGTTTTGGGGTGGGGTCTTTTCCGGGCTGCAGGGTGAGCTGACTGTTCTAGGGACTAGAGCCAACCTGACGGGCTGGGATCCCCTGAAGGACTTGACAGCCAGAGTGTGTGTCTCCAATGAAGTTGGCTGTGGTCCTTGGAGCCAGCCTGTGCTTGTCTCCTATCGGGACCATGCTGGTGAGACAGAAAGGGGAGCAGGGGATCTGTCTGATTGAACAGCCTGCTTTCCTGTGGGAGGGTTTGGTAGGAGCCTGGTTCCCATTTTCTTCTGTGCGTGGCAGGCTCAGAGACTTAGATCCACGCAAACAAGGTCAGGGCCAGAGATTAATGAGCCACGGAAGATCATTTTGGGAGTTTCCTATGCTCCTTTAAACTTGGGTTTCTTAACTTGAAGTCAGTTTTGTCATAACTGTATTTCAATATAATTGGTTTATTTTATAATTCTACATATTTTGTACATTAAAAATATTATTATGAAAATGAGTTCATAGGTTTTAGAATGCTGAAGGGTTCCAGGACAACAAAAGAGCCCCTGTTTTTTTGGCAATTGGGGTTAAGTGACTTGCCCAGGGTCACACAGCTAGTGTCAAATGTTTGGTCTGAGTCTGAATTTGAACCCAGGTCCTCCTGACTTCAGGGCAGGTGTTCTATCCACTGTGCCACCTAGCTGCCCCCAAGAGCCCCTGTTTTAAACCTGCTTGTCTTCTGGGGTCTTTTTTCCTTATTTGATGCCTTATTATTCTGATTTTTGAAGATAATCCTGAGCAAGTCAGATAGCTTCCCTGAGAATGTTCTGAGAGGCTTCTATACTGGCCATCTGTACTAGACACCCTTCCCCTTTTTCCTCCAGGCCAGCAGGGTCCTCCTCACAGTCGCACATCTTGGGTGCCTGTGGTCTTGGGCATTCTGACAGCACTTGTGACAGCTGCTGCCCTGGCTTTAATCCTGTTGCGCAAGAGAAGGAAGGAAACACGGTTTGGGTAGGTATGGGTGTGGAGTGGTGTCTGGAGACATGGAATTGTCCCCCTCCAAATAAGTAAAAGTACTCAGTAGCCTGAACCCCAGTTCCCTCTCTCTCTCTCTCCCTTCCTCCCCCTTTCCCCTTTGACCCCTTCCCTACATCTTGTATCCTACCAGGCAAGCCTTTGACAGTGTCATGGCCCGTGGGGAGCCCGCTGTTCATTTCCGTGCTGCTCGATCCTTTAATAGGGAAGGCCCAGAGCGAATTGAGGCCACATGTGAGTCACTTGTCAATGGGGTTCCACGAGGGCATCCTTATTAGACTCTGTCTTGTTTCTTGTGAACTCCTGTACCTCATTTGATTTTGGGATGAGTCAGTCGCCGTGCTTGGGGTGGGGGAGTTGCACAGGAGTATGGGGTTGGGTCCTGGTCACTGCTCAACTTCCCCGGGGTTTTTAACTGCCTTTTCCTCCTTTCCAGTGGATAGCCTGGGTATCAGCGATGAACTGAAAGATAAATTGGAGGATGTGCTGATCCCAGAGCAGCGGTTCACCTTGGGCCGGATGTTGGGCAAAGGTCAGGTGGCTGACTGTCTTCGGGGAGGGTGAAGCCTTTTACCAAAGGGAGATGGCGGTGTGTCTGAGCATCACATGCCTGGGATTTGGAGGATTGCTACAGTTGGGACTACCTGGGACCGGGCAAAGAAGGGTGCTCTCATGGGTCATGTGGACTTGGCAGGAAAAACTCTAAATTTAGGAGACTTAGTGATGGCTAGGGAAGATGGAGTGGAGTCTGTGCTGACTTGGGTGGTTGGGTTACCCATTTCTACTTGTAGTACGTTGTAAGATTCTATGACCCTTTGATACTAAGCCAGCTTCCATAGCCTGTGACACTCAGATGACTCCTTCTTGAGCCCTGCCACACGCGTTGGGGAACTCTCTAGGAGGAGACGGGAGAGTCGAATTGGCTGGTAGGCTCAGCTGCCTCTCATAGGGGAAGAGCTTGGGAGGCCAAGCTAAAGTCATCTCACCCTTACCTGGCTTCATCCCTAGGGGAGTTTGGCTCAGTGAGGGAAGCCCAGCTGAAGCAGGAGGATGGCTCCTTCGAGAAGGTAGCAGTGAAAATGCTAAAAGGTGAGTGGGGTACAATGCTGAAGGATTTGGCTTCCAGCCTTGGGAGAGAGTGGTAGAGGCAGCTAGAGAGCCCCGAGCCAAGCCTATCTCTGTGAACAAGGCAGGAGCACCTTTGGCAGCTCTGGAGCACTTGAGGGCAAGCTCAGGAACTTAGCAGTGGCTCTGAGGTCCTCTTCTGTACACACATTCCTGAATAACACTTCTCCCTTGTGTTTGACTACTGTGATTCTGGCAACTACTCAGCTCCCTAGCCTGGCCTGAACACCTCCAGCAAAGCCATGTCCTATAGTGGACCACGACCTCTAGGGAGACTCAGTGGGTGGATGACTTAAAGGGAGAGGCCTGCCCCATTTGGGAGGCACTTCTCACCTCGTTTCCCTTTCCTCTTCCTAGCGGACATCATCAACTCCAGTGACATTGAAGAGTTCCTCCGAGAGGCTGCTTGCATGAAAGAATTTGACCACCCACATGTGGCCAAACTTGTTGGTGAGCTGGTCTCTAGGGAGTCTGGTACAGAGGAGAGGGTAACCAAGGGGAGGGCAGAGATAGGAGCACTAATAAAAAAGGCTACAGAAAGGAGGGAATGTTAGCCATACCAGGTAGATGACCAGGAGTGAGACTGGGGAGTAGAGCACCCTAGCTGAAGAGTCTGTTTCCAAGTGTTCTCTGGCTTCAGAGAGTGCAAAGAACACTCACTGTAGAATCAGAGGACCTGGGTTCAAATCCCATCTCTGCCACTATCTGTATGACCTTGGGCAAAGTTACTAAGTAGAGACATGAAACCCTTCTGATTTCTTCATCTGTAAAATGAGAGAGTTGGACTGGGTGGTCTCTAATAGTCCTGCTATCTTTAAATCTGTGATCCTAAGAGCAGCCCCCAGAATCTATACAAAGAAAGTCAAATTTTCTATGAGGAATAGTGGCACCATATATAGGGGGAGGTCATCATAAGGAATCCCAGGGTCTGGTTCTTCGGTTCCTTCTCCTGGGCTAGTTCCAGGGAATTAGGTAGTTACCAAGAAGGGCCTAGACATTGATTGATTCAAGGACCTTTGAACTGCCCAAAGGGGAGTCTTCCAGTTGACTGATATCCCTCATTCACTGGGGCAAATTAGCCATAAATTGGAGAAGCCTGAGAAAATGCTGTATCCTGAGGCCAGGAAAGGATAGGAAACCTGTTATGCGACAGGAAAGTGATTAGGGACACAGCATACTCCTGGTTTGGTTTTCTGGCCCCTAATCACACAAACCCTTGATCAAGATTTTCCTTTTTTTTTTCTGAATAACTAGCCCCTTACGTTTCTCCACCGTTCTTTTCACCCCCAGGGGTGAGCCTTCGAAGCCGTGCCAAGGGCCGCTTGCCTATCCCCATGGTGATCCTGCCCTTCATGAAGCATGGTGACCTACATGCCTTCCTCCTTGCCTCCCGAATAGGAGAAAACCCTTTTGTGAGTGTTTGCATTGGAGGCATGTGTGTGTAGGCTGGAGCAACATGGGAGAAAGAGCATTTGGGAGAAGAAGGATTTGGTAGACAAGACTGGGAGAGATGAGGAGGAGTTGGGATTTGGTCGCAAGAGATGAAGTGGGGACGGGAAACTTTTTCAGAAGCTTCTCAGGAGAATTCAAGAGGAGATGAAGGAATGGTCTGTTCTTAGCTGTGAACCTAGACATAGCCAGGATATTCCCTTTCAGGCCTAAGGAAGCCCTCAGGGTATTCTAGGCTGAGAAGGTATCTGGTCTTAGAAAGAGACTTGATGTCTTTCTTTCCTTTTTTTTTTTTTAATTAAAAAGCTCCCCCCCCTTTCCATTCCTCCCCTTCACTAAAGAAAAACAGCTCTTGTAATAGACATAGTCAAGAAAAACAAATTTTCTCGTTGGCCATGTTCAAAAATGAGTACTCTGCACATTTAATCGATTTCCTCTCAGTCATCAGTCCTCTGGAATCATGGTTGGCCATCGTATTTATCAGAGTTCTTAAGTCTTTCAAAATTGTTCATTTTGTTTTTATTGTATACGGTATATATATATATATAAATATATATATAGCATCATATATAGCATGTTCTCCTAGTTCTACTCACTTCACTTTATGTTAGTTCTTACACAGGTTTCTCTGAAATGACTTTCTTATCTTTCTTCATGTTTATATTATATATTTATATTATATTATATAGCATAATAATATTACTTTATATTCATATACCATAATTTGTTCAGCTGTTCCCCAGTCAATGGTCACCCCCTTAGTCTTCACCACAAAAAGAGCTCCCATGAATATATTTGTACGTATAGGACCTTTTTCTTCTTTATTTGCTCTCTTTAGGGTACAGACCTAATAGATGTATAATTCAAAGGAAATGAAGAGGAGTTTAGTAGTCCCCAGTTGCTTTCCAGAATGGTTGAACCAATTCATATTTTCTCCCTCCTAGTTTCTTTCTCAGCTTTGCTAAAAGCTCACCTTGGTAAAAGCCCTTCACCCTTTCCCCCTCCGTCAGATTTGTTGACCCTGGAGTTGAGAAAACCCTTTGATCAGGGGGCTCTCCATACTGTCTGTTCAGCTGTTTGTGGCAGGGCTCAGGACTAAGCTTCCTTGTTTCCTCCTGGCTAGAACCTGCCCTTGCAGACACTGATCCGATTCATGGTGGACATTGCCAGTGGCATGGAGTACCTGAGTTCCCAGAATTTCATCCATAGGGACTTAGCTGCTCGGAATTGCATGTGAGTGAGCTGCCAGTGGACCTGGGGGGGGGGGGGGGAAATCATAGAGAAAAAGCAGGAGAGAGCTGTTTGATTAAGAAGTGAACTGCTGTTCAAATTAGAATGAAGATGGCAGGGCCTTGGATAACTGCTGTCGGTCCCAGCCTGGCTATTGTGTCCACAGTGGTGCCCATTCAGGTCAACAAGAGCCCGATGCCTAAAAGCCAGCTTAGAGACTTCTCTCGGGAGGAAAGGGGCAGGGTCAGCCCATTGATTCCATGTACTTCACTCTCTTTACAGGTTAGCTGAGGACATGACTGTGTGTGTGGCTGACTTTGGGCTATCTCGGAAGATATACAGTGGTGATTATTATCGGCAGGGCTGTGCCTCCAAATTGCCCGTCAAATGGCTAGCCCTGGAAAGCTTGGCTGATAACCTATACACAGTACATAGTGATGTGGTGAGTAGAAGGATTTGGGGCCAAGTGGAGCAGAGATTTGGGTGGTTTGGATCAGGGGGACTGCAGAGTAGAATTCGGGCCAGGACCAAAACACAAAGGCCGGGACTACTTACCCTTACAGTCCCTTAGGATTGGGACTGATTGCCCTCACGTGAATTATCCTGTCCAGTGGTGGTTCTGTCCTTAGGTAGTGGGGTTTATCTGCTCCTGGCCCGGGCTTTGACAACTTTTTTGACCTTGATTTTGTTCTAGTGGGCATTTGGTGTGACCATGTGGGAGATAATGACTCGGGGACAAACACCTTATGCTGGTATTGAAAATGCTGAGATTTACAACTACCTCATCAGTGGGAACCGTCTGAAGCAGCCCCCTGAATGTCTCGAGGAAGTGTGAGTGCTCTCCAGAGAGTTAGATAGGGACAGTAGGGGGAGAGAAGACCCTTGGAGGGCAGGAGAACCAGGTTAGGCTTTTGGGTGGATTGGTGATTGTATATAATGATGGCTACTGACAGAGATCCCAGGCTACCCTCTCCCTGAGTGATGACTTCTGCTGAGGGATGATGCGGTTGTAGACCTGGAGCTGGTTGGGGACTTTGGGGGCCATTTAGTGCAACCTCTTCATTTTACAGTTGAAGAAACTAAGGCCCAGGGAGATTGTGACTTGCCCACGGTAACACAGGTCCTCCAGCATTCCTTCCATTTCTCCGAAGAGCCTGATTTGGATCTCTGTCCTTCCGTGTCTCTCTACTCTTCTTACTCTCTGTCTCTGTCTCTTTCTCTCCTCTCCCTCTGGAAATGATTTTCTAATTTCTTAACAGTTTCATGAAGTTTTGCCTTTATATCTCTCTGTCTCTTTCTGGAAATGATTTTCTAATTTCTTAACAATTTTGTGAAGTCTCTGATTCTATATCTCTCTGTCTCTCTCTTCTTTTTCCCTTTGGAAATGATTTTTTAATTCTTTATCAATTTCATGAAGTCTGTCTCGTCTCTGTCTCTCTCTCTCAACCTCTTCTCTTTTCCCTCTGGAAATGATTTTCTCATTTCTTAACAGTTTCATGAAGTCTCTGTCTCTTTCTGTCTCTCTGTCTCTGTCTCTTCTCCTCTCCTTCTAGAAATAATTTTCTCATTTTTTAACAGTTTAATGAAAAAAATCGTATTCTTCCTATCTAGTGCCTCCCTGTTTCCTCTATCTCTCCTGTTCCACCATTTTCTCACTTTACCCCCTCCTTATAACTTCTCCAGCTTTCCCAGGAATAAACAAGAAATCTATCCCCTCCTAATCCCAGAGGCAGAAACCAGAAAGAGATTCTATAAGGAACAGCCATGGTTTCTTCCTCCTCCCCCAGGACCAAGCTAGTTAGAGCTGTTATTGCTGGTATTTAGAAAGAAAGGGAAAAAAAAAAAGACACCTCCCCTAGATTAAGAGTTCTTTCCTACTCAGAATGAGTGGGTGGGGGAAGAGAAACGATGAAATGCCTATAGGAGTCTTCTTACCACTCAAAAGACTGGGGCTACAGCTGCCAGTGGGGGTCTTTGCTTCCCTCCCTTTACTATTCTGCCATAATCCTTGTCTTTCCAAGGAGGGGGCTGACTGTTGGGGGAAGAATGGTTCCTTCAGAACCCCCACTGATTGCTGGTGAAGGGTCCTAGAGGCTGGAAGAGGCTTGAGATTGGAAAATGGGAGTCTTAGAGAGAAATGACCAGCCTCCTTTCATTCTGGAAGGACTTCAGCATCCAGAATGGGGAGTGGTGGGGGAAGCAGGGAGGCTGTGCAGCCTAAGGCCCTTCCTTTGCTAGGGCTGAGTTGGCAGATTCCTCCTTGTGTTAGTAAGCAGAGTATATACCATGTGGGGGAGAGGAAGAAGAGGCTGTACTGATGTAAAATCAGTGTCACCCTGAAGCTCTTTCTGTAGTGACTGGAATCCTCCACCCTTACCAGAGCCAGGCTTTTTCTGGGTTTGCATGGAAGCTAGAGCCATTCCTGGCATAAGAGAGAAGGAAGGCAGGATGAAGTCCACAGTGGTTTTAGGGAAGGGACAAATTCCTTCCACAGGTGAATAGTTTTAGTAGCTCCACCTTCATCTATGACAGAAACAATTCAAGTGGATACCACCTTTCTGCCAACTGAACCATTCTGGCTTTAGGCCTGGGAAACAGAGCTCAGCAGGGGGAAGATGGGCAGAAATAGACTTAAAATCCTGTTGATTTGGTGAGTACCTGAGGCTCATTTGGAGTGACCAAAGAGAAGGATTAGAGGGAATGGAAAAGAAAAAGCCCTCATTTTGAGATTTCAGAGAATGAATATGATACTTTCTGGAGACAAGAGAGTCTTGGGTTCAAATCTTAGATCTGGCATTCACTAGCTGCTTTCTGAGCCTCAGTAAACATTTATTAAGCACCCACTATGTGCCAGGCACCAAGCTAAGCACTGGGGATACCAAAAGAAGCAAAGGACAAGAAGCTTACAATCTAATAGGGGAAGACAAGCAAACAAATATGTGTGAACAAGCTTTATTCAGGATAAATAGGAAATAATTAACAGAGGGAAGGCACTGGAATTAAGAGGAGTTAGGGAAGGCTTCCTGTAGGAGGCAGAATTTTAGTTGGGACTTAAAGGAAGCCAGGGAGGTCACTAATCGGAACAGAGCTAGGAGAGCATTCCAGGCATGGGGGACAGCTAGAGAAAATGCCCAGAGCTGAGAGATGGTGTGTCTTATTTGTGGAACAACCAGAGGGCCATGTATATAAAGTATGTTGCAAACCTTAAAGGATGGAGGAATGAATCTGTGATTTCACTGGTATAGGGAACCTCTCAGGTTAGGAAACTCCCTTTACCAATTCAGATTGGCAACTCCCCTGAAATTTACAGACTTAGAGAGTTGCTAGAGCACGGATATTAAGTGACTTGCCCAGGGCCACACAACCAGAATGTGTCAGAGGTAGCTGGGATTTGAACTCAGGTTTTCCTGACTCCAAGGCTTACTTCTTTACTCACTGTCCCGTGCTGCAAACCTTAAAATGGTACATAAATATCAACTTCTTATTATATGGGCTTCCACAGTAGAAGAAGAAGCAAAGACTTCTTCAACTATTAATAGGCTTCTGGTCCCTGGCTCAGCTTCTTCCTGGTCAGTGGTTGGTGCTACCAGGGGAGGGATGAAGGGAGCTGGCTTCCCGCCAGTGCATCATGGTGGATGGATGCCAGTTGGCTTAGTCAACCTTGAGACTGTGTTCTGGCCAAAGCCCTGTGCTCATGGATTCAGGCCTTTCCCACGACCTGCTGTGGGGTGGACATGATGAACTTTCCTCCCTGCCTATTCACTTTGGGGGGCTCTAGAAGCAGTCATGGGTGAAGGGGCTTGGCATAGTGATATGTAGGTATAATAATTCCCAGCTTCTAGGAATTTTTGTCATGGGGATAGGCAAGAATGTCAGGGAGTTGGCTCTGAGCATCCCAGGCTTCATTCTCTTTCTTGGGGTAGGATTTTTCCAGTCCCTGGGGGTTTTTATTTTAGACTATAATTGGACACCACCTTTTGGGCTGCTAGCCTAGCACGTTGAAATGGTAGACACTTAATAGTAGGCATATCTGTTGAATTGACAGGACAGACCTTAGCAGATAGGGTTTGAGGTCTGGCCCTCTCCAGGAATTCTAAGGACCACAGCCTTGATACTGCCTCTACTTGGAAGGGAGGATAGAGATCCTTCTTTTTTTACCCCCCTTCAGCAGCCTCTCTTATCTTTTTGTCACAGATATGAGCTCATGTACCAGTGCTGGTGCTCAGACCCCAAGCAGCGCCCTAGTTTCACGACACTTCGGATGGAGCTAGAGGAGATCCTGGGCCGAATGTCTGTTCTCTCTGCCAGTCAGGATCCTCTCTACATCAACATCGAGAGGGCTGAGGAGCAAGCAGAAGGGGGTGGCCAACTGGGCGGGGACCAGGTTATCAGTGGGAATGGAGATAGGAACGGTAATGGTACAGGATCAGTAGGTGGTATTCCAAGTGACTATCGGTATATCCTTAGCCCTGGAGGGCCAGCTGAGCAGTCTGGAGAACAGCAGTCAGAGGGGGCCTGTGGGGAGGCCCAGAGGAGGAGGCTGCTCTAGCAGGGGCTGTTGGCCTAACAAATGGATGGGCATCCTTTGGGGGGGGTAAGGGGAAGTGTCTGGCTGACTTTGTTGGCTAGCAAAGCCCCCTCCCCCCTTGATCTCGGCCTAGTCAGAAGTGTGGGGGCTCCTGTGGCAGTCCCTCCCAAACTGTGTTGGGGACTGGGCTTTGGAAGCCTGATAAGACCAAATCGCCCAATCCCAGTTCTTCCTGCAATCACTCTGGCTCCAGCCAGCCTGGCACAGGCTCGTGACTATTTCATTCGGGTGGGGGTGGGGGGGAGGTAGGGCAGGCCTAGTTGTCTGGACACTGGCAGCTGGTACTCTGTGGTTACATTCCCATGGTTATGATGAGTGGGGGCCAGGAAGGAGAGGAGATAAGTGGCACTATTCACCCCTTCCCTTCCCAGTGGGCTAACCCTGCTGCTTTAGTGCATGTGCTGAGCCACCCCTGGCCTGAGGAGGCAGCTCTGCCCACACCACTGGTTTTTAATTCTCTAGGCCTGGCTTCTTCAAGGCACAGAGAGGTGGATTTACATTACACCCATGCAGGTATGAGTTGGTAGAGAGGTTGGTAGGGCCAACCCCTCTCACCCTATAGGTGGAATTGAATGTTGGTATACTCAGGTCTGAATAACCCTTTGTCAGCAGGACTGTGGGGCTACCCTGCCAATGGCCCATCCCTGTTGGGTGCTGCACACTCCCTAGGTCACACCTATGCAGAAAGCTAGAGGACATCAGTCTGCCAGGTGCACTTCCCTTGAAAAGAAGGGGAGCGATGGGGCCTGAGGAAGGATTGGTGGGACCAGATGTGTCTGGTCCTATAAGGGATGGCATCCTCTTTCCACTAGTGAGGGAAGCACCCTCCACTGTCTGTTTGGAGCATGCTACAAGAATCCTAATCCCACTAACAAAGGCAGCTGTGTCTAAGCCCCGAGGGTTTTCTGGTCCCACTTCTTCCTTCCCTGCTGAGTCCCTCTATCCTGACTTTCCCTTTAACAGAAGCCTCCTCTTTTTGCCAGCTCCTATTCAGAGCTATTGAAGTGGGAGGAATTGAGGCCAGGGGGCTGGTTTTGAGGGAAGGGGTTATTATTGATTGCTACCACCTCCATGGCAGAGATGGCTGTGGGGGAAATGGGATGAGAGTAGCCTACCTTGGGGAGGGTGTTTCCAGGCTGTTAGATGCCATTTAAACACAGAAATAAAAAGAAACCTCAGAACAGCCATTTGGAAATAGTCATTTCTTCTTTATCTTTCAATCAAGCACTCTCCTTTGTTGGTTTGGAGGGGGGTAGAAAGAAAAGTTAGAAGGTTGTGATACTGATTTCTCACCTTTCCTCCCCAAGGCTGCAGAGAATTGTCTTGGGCCTATGTGGAATGGAGCATGTAAGTATATAGGGAGACCTAAGTGGTTGTTAAAAGCCTGTGCTTTTCTACCCAGTCTCTCTGCCTTTAAAAGTAGCTCAGGAGAAACAGAAGGGATTGTGTGTCGGGCAGGGAGCTTGCTTGGGAAATAGGTTGCAGCTGATGCCATCAAAGAAGTAGAATGGGGGTGGGGTGAAGAAGCAGCCCTCTTCAAAAAATTTCAGGAAAAACCTGTTGCTGCCAGAACTGGTTCTGGCTCCCACGTGATAAGGAGATGGAGAGAAAGACACTAACTTTAATCAAGGTGTATAGGAAACTAGAATCAAGAAAACTTGCTAGCTAGGGCTAGCCTTACCTGTAGGTGACTGATTAATTCAATTCAGTAAACATTAAGAAACTAAGGCATGTAAAACCCTGTACTAGGTGCTAGGAGACACAAAGTTGAGATAAACATAGTCTTCAGCTTCATGGAATTTAGATTTTGGTAGAGTTTGCTATCTCCTGTAATGTGACTTGGTGGATACATGGGAGACCCTAGCCCCCAAATACCTCCACTTTGAGGGTCCCATGTGGTCTGGATTTCTACCACTAAAAATTCCTCCTGTGTGTCAGGACATTGTCGTGTCTTCCCATTTAAATGCATCCCAGAAGAGGTGGCAATGTAGAAAACCTAATGCCTTAGCTTATCAGATCAATTTTCTTCAGGATAGTTAGCAGATGGAAGAGCTTGGGGGCAAAAAGTATTAAGTGATTACTTGGTGCAAATCAGTGTACTAAAACTCATTGTATAGAAGAAACTGAGGACAGAAGAAGGGAAGGAACATGCGTGGTCACTCAAATAAGTGAGTAGTAGAGGTCAGACTCCAATCTAGTTGGGTTTTGACTGGAAGCAAGGAAGGGGTAAGCAGCGTAGACTAGGTTGCACCATTCAGAAAGGATAAGTCTAGCTGTCCACAGAGCAGCCTGAGTTTCACCTGACGGTATTGATTAAGTGGTGGAGTTGAAGCATTGAGAAGGGGGCAGGACATTAGTCTTTGCCTATTTGATAGGTTTGACAGTCCTACCTGTTGCACTCCTGTCCTAGGCCAGACCCTGGCAGACAATCTAGTCAAAAATTTTCAAGGCCAGAATCTAGGGAGGGCAAAAAATTTTTATAGATTTATGTAAACATCTCCTTGACTATAACAGGATGTTTCTGGTCTGGGGATAACAAACCTTGCACTTGACAGACTCAGGAGCAAACTTGGACTCTAGCCAAATCCTAAAGAGGTAGGAAAGCTCTTGGCTTCCTAGAAAAGAAGTGTGTTATCAATTTGTCTTTCCTTAAAACAGACTTTTAGGCTCCTTCTTAAGTAGGCTTTCAAAAACCTATAGTTCCCACTATGTGTAAGAAAGGCATTTTGGTGGAGGCTGGGCATATGGACATAAAACAATCTTTGTCTTCAGAGCTTACATTCTTTTAGTGAGATGCAACATGTATACAAGTACAAAATAAAGAATACGTAAGGGAGAAGAGCTGTGAGCTTGGGGGAGGGGGATAGTGTTGTGGGAGGGGAATTGGGCATCTGACATAGGTAGCCTCTGAAGTGAGCTTCAAAGGAAACTAGGTATTCTACTAGGGAAAGGTGAGGAGGGAGTGTATTTCAGATAATGGGGAGCCATTTGTGCAAAGGCAGAGTTCAGAGATGGAATTAACATTCTGGGAATAGTTAGCAGGCCAGTTTGACTGGAATGGAAAATGTATGAAGGGAAATAAGTGAAATTGAAACTGGAAAGGGAGGTGAGAGTCAAATGGTGGAAAATCTTGAATGCCAGGCTGAAGATTCTGTATTTGATCCTAGAGGTAACAGGGCTCCATTGAAGAATTTTGAACAGTGAGCTGGTGTGCTCAGAGCTGTGTTTCAGATTATCTGTTTGGCAGATTTGCAGAGGATGGATTGGATAGGGAAGAAACTAGGCAGAGAAACCAATTGGGAAACTGTTACAGTTGTTGAGGTGAAGTGATGAGAACATGAAATGCTGTAGAATAGGGATCATTAACCTCCTTTGGGTCATAGACCCTTTTGGCAGTCTGGTAAAACCTATAGACCCCTTCTCAGAATAACATTTTTAAAAACACAAAATCAACTACACAGCTTTATAAAGGGGAAACCAAGGGTTAGTGAAAATAAAGATGTATTTTTTCCCTTCCAAGTTCATGGACCCCAAGGGGTTCATAGACCATCCCCTTCCCCCCTGCCCAAATCTGGGGTAGATGCTTTTTGAGGAGAAAAAAGGGAGCAGATGGAAGATTTATGAGAATTAGGAGGACTATTCTATATCAAAAGATTTATCTTTGTTTTTGATTTTTTAACATTTTTGAAAATTTTGAGTTCCAATTTTTTTCCTCCCTCCAGTCCATCCCTTTCTCATTGAGAAGGCAAGCAAGACAAAGGATTAGTTTTGATAGTTGTTATCCAGTCCCTTCCTAAGCAAATTCTCAAAAACTCTTTTCCTCCTTCTTCGACTCCAAAGGGAGATACCTTTAAATGACTTCTGCGTTGTATTCCTAGACCTTCTAAAGGATCCAGACTCAAAATGCAGGGGTCACATGCTAATACGCTACAGGGAGGGAGGCTGGGCAGGGGCTGCTCTGTGCAGAGCAGAGACAGGAGCAGCTTGTTCCCGGCCCTGTTTAGGCTGGCTGTAACCCAAGCCTGTCCCTGGGAACTGTGCTAAGTGCTATGCCCACTCAGAGGGTGATGCTGTTACCCAGGCACTCTTCAGGTTCTGAGAACATCTGCCCTGTCCTTGAAGTTATCTTGTAATGTGTGCTTTTCCAACGAGCCCGTGAAGTCAGGAACAAAACACCCTCCAAGTCAATTTTGTTAATTCTCCCTGTTGCCCCCCACCTGAAAACAGCCCAAGTTCACCAAATGCTCTTCTCCCTTCCTTCAGAGTCCCCTTGGAAGTTTATTTCCCGCACATTCCCCACCTCTAGATAGAGAGGGGATGGACACAAGTGCAGAAATAAACATGCAGTTTTGGACATGGCCACTGTATGGATTTGTTTTGCTGGACTTACGCTTACTTGTTACGAGGGCTTTCTTTCTCTTGGGTTTTTAATTGGGGGGGAGGAAAAGGGGAAGGGGAGTTAACAATAAGTGATGCCAAACCAAAAAGAGGGCCATGGAAACATTTTTTTTTTTTAAATGCACTGAAGGAAACAGAAGAAAGTTCAGAAGAAAGCATTGACAAACAAGACGGTTTGAAAGTGATGTGTAGAATTTATTATATACTTAAAAAAAAAACGCAAGCTGTATGAAATGGAGAGTCATGGTTTCATATAGAATTCTCTTTATGTGTTCTGTGTGTATGGGAACGATCTGATTTTTTTGTTCAACTTCATAATAAAAATTTATTTTAAAAATTTGCTTCTTTTAAGAATTAAATTTAGCTCTCTAAGAATAGAACTAGCAATGGGGAGTAGGAGAAAAGGATGTGATCTAATTTGAGTTGGGGGGAGGCATCCTACTTTACAAGTTTCCCTGATATGCTGGGCAACTCAGCTTTCTCCCTTTATAAAGAAAAATCTAATCACTTCCTTTTTCCATTGTTGTGTTGTAGTCATGAGTTGTATCCCACTAAGGGTCTAGGATTACCTCTGAGATCATATTTCTCTTCTTGTATAACAGTATTTTCCTCTTTACCTAACTTTAATCCTAACCTCTGTGCATTGACATATAGACATCTGATGCCAAATATCATTTCTGCCACACTTTTTAGTTATTTTCCCCTGAAAATAACTGGACCTTTTCACTATTATACACCTACCTGTATCAGACCTGTTGCTTTTTTTGGCATGGCAGTTATATCTAGATAGTTTTCTTGACGGTCCTCTAGAGCAAATCAGTAAACCTCAGGCAAATACATTCTTTTTGTTTAGATATATTCTGTTTTCCTTACTAAAACATCATTCTCGCTGTATCTCGCATCATTCTTTGGCACCATCTTTTTGGCCAGCTCATCACTTCTCATGCCCTCCTTCCTTTTCTCAGGTATCTATAATGAAAATAACACTTTTGCCCTTAGGTCCTTTAATTTCCTGCGCAGGACTCTGCAACCTCTAGAGATGGTTTCCAGGTTCTTTTGGATATCATTCATTCCCAATTGTATCAATAGAAATGGGTAGTTATCAGTTTTGACATCAGAAGATTCTCTGTATAACATCTTGTTACAATAACTAGGTCATTTTAAGCCTAGAAAGAAATATAATGATCCCTAAGGTTGCCTTGATTCCCTTTTCTTTGTTTTTAGGGAGTTTAGTTGAAAAGGTCTGAGCTCAGTCACTATCAGTTTGAACTCAGTTAGGAAAAATGCCTAAAATATAAGCAGAAATTGGGCTCTCTGCCTAACCTTACATTCAAGGGTATGTAGGAGTCAGTCCTTACTGGCTTACAAGAGCTAGTTAAAATTTCAGTATGATCATTTCTCCACAAATGCTACAAAACAGGGCTTGATTTTATTGTTTACTGTCTAGGCATAAAATGATGGAGAAAATATTAATAATGCAGATTAAACTTAAATGTATCATGAAAATTTTTTTCCCTAGAGTACTGGTCGTTAAACATTTACCAGCACAGTACTGCTTATAGTCATCTCTATCTCTGGTTAACCTCTAGTTAGGTTGTGGTTGTGGTTGAGGCAAAATTCAGTTTGCTGGAAACATTTAGATAACAAAACAACAGATTATATTATAATGTTTGTGGTTAGATAGAAAGGGAAGTTGAAGAAAGAACCAATCTTTCCTTGGGAGTTTCCCTCAGCCTGGATCTTCCTCTCCAAGATGTCCAGAAATCCACAGAGCCAATGACTCCTCGATATTTCCTTTCTTTGTCACAGCTGCTCAGAATCTCTTATTCTCCCCACATCTTCCATTCTACATCTCCGCGCCCCTATTTCCTTCCCCAATTCTGAGATAGCTTCTTCCACTTACACAAATTGCTTAAGGCCTGAACCAGTTGCTAACAATGTCTGTGATTTAAGGAGGTATACAAGCCCTGTTCACACTTCTGTTGATTTGATTCAATCAAAAAAATGTTTTCGTCTGGTCGAGGCACCAAGGACAAATGGAATAGTCTCAACCCCATCCTTAGATCCTTCATAAATAACCCAAATATGTGCTCCAGGAAGAAATATACCTTCCCATATAAGAATTTCTTCAGTTTTAGGAAAGACTTCATAGTCCGAGAAAATCTAAAGAATAAAGAAATGTTCCAATTTCTCTTCTCCAGTGGGGAGACCGATTTATATTTAGCACATACAAGTTTTTATTTCTCATCCAGAAGGATAGACATAGCACAATCCCTGCCAGAAACCAGAAATGCTTCTGTATTCTTTGTGCTTCCTAAAAATAAAGTTGTTGTATCTCTGGGATTCTCCTTAACCCCTCTGTCATTGTTGGTGGTCAGAGAAAATTGTTTGGTGAGCTGATTTCTCTACTGAGGTCAGTCACCTTAACTCAATCTGTTACTTTGACAAATTACCTTCCCTTACATATCTGGATGAAGATACATTACCCAGGTGGAAGTGACTAGTAATTAGTAGTCACCTGCTAGCGTCCTGATATAAATAGACACTATCTTTGAGATGATCTTGCTTCAGGCTTCCCTGTGTGCTCTGCCTTATCTGTCTTCCCATTTAGTCATGCACAGTTATCTTGTGTGTTGGTGCCACAACAACTTCTATGTGGCTGATTATAGATTGTTATCTTAGAACAAAACTTGTTGAGACCATGCCATACTTGCCAAGTCTTATACTTCTCCCTTTTTGATTCACCATTTATTGTTTCTGGTCCTGGATAGAATTAACAGCTGTTTGTACCCCTTCTGGTCTCCGGACAGAAGTCTTGTCATGTTTTGGTTCTAGGTTTGTCTCCCATTGGCTTTCATTTTCTCTGTTATCATCTTCTATCTATCTTTTGGCCTGCCTTGGTTTTTGACTAACACTGTTGTGATTGAAAACTTGAGAGAGACAAAGTTCCAAGCATAATCGATTTATTAGCAAAGTTAGCAGTTGCTAATAAATCAGGTCTCTGACCTCTCAAGAACCCAAAAATGCCAAAGGGTGACTAACAGAGCTTTCTTGTAGTCAATAAAGAGGAGCTTCACAATTTACAAAACCTTGAGTAACAGGGAATAAGGGCAATTATAATAATGAGCTACTGGGCATGCTATGCATGTAACAACATTAAGCAGTACACTCTCTTATTGGCTGGGACATTATAAAAATTAATGATTGGTTATAATTAATGAAGTTTACACAAGATTGATATTAAACTCATATAGGAATGGGGAACTTTAACTTGCATAGAATAGACAACTTGGGTTCTAACACCCAGAATACAGAACTTAGCCTCCTCGCTCAGCTTTGCAGGAATAGAGAACTTAAAGATTATAAATCTTATTCTAAAAGCCAGATTAATTAAGCCTTATCAAGAATGTTACACTATAGCAAGGTATAGATCATAGAATAAGTCTAGTCTTTATTTAGTTCTTTCAGTTCCTCCCTTATTCCTCCCTTTGATTCTTGGGAGACATCTCTCATGAATCACTTTCTATAAGATATTCAGTGATTCTGATGGGATTTCATCCATATATATATATATATATATATGTATATATGGTCAAGATCAGCATCTTAAGCCAGTTTATTATTCTTGGGGACTAATTTTGAGCAAACTTTGGTACAACAATTAATATAACAGTAAATGCAAAGCCAAAACGTAATTATAAGGCCCAGGATAAGGAAAGCCCATTTGATTATAGTAGTATGCCACCTCCTTGAAACCATGAAAACCAGGAAGAGGGATCCTACCACAAATTACTATTATCTATTGTATGAGTCTCTATTGCACTTCACTGAGTTTCATTCATAATTCTTTGAAGTTCATGGACATTTGTAATAATCTCTCTTGACTTATTAATATAGGAATAAGAAGATTGATTAATAATAGTGCAAGCCTCTGCCTGAATGATTCTGCAAACCATTTCTGCTAAAGAATCAACTTCTACCTGGAGGGAAAGGATGTCATTAGATGTTTCATCAAGGGCTGAGGTTTTTTCTTGGGCTAACTTTTCAATTTCAGTAGAAATGTTCCTAATTGACTTTTTTTTTTTTTTTTTTGGCTAGGCAATGGGGTTAAGTGACTTCAGGGTCACACAGCTAGTAAGAGTCAAGTGTCTTGAGGCCAGATTTGAACTCAGGTCCTCCTGACTCCAGGGCTGGTGCTCTATCCACTGTGCCATCTAGCTGTCCCCCTAATTGACTTCTTGACATAACCCATCCCAAAATTCAGGAATAGAGAAAAATCTCAATTCATGATTAGATTCCTTTACAGAGTTTGGAGGAGAAGAATCTCTTTTTCTATGTTCATGCCACCAAGCTCCTAGATTTCCAGTAGGTTTCTGTCCTTCTCAACCTATGGAATGATTATAAATGGAGACTGGTGGGGCCAAATAGGCTATCCTGCATGTTCCATACCATCCTGAGGGGAGAGAACAGAAAGCTGCTCCAATATAAATTAAAAACTGACCTGGGGTAACTAATCCCCATGGCAGCTCTGGAACCTCTTTAACTTCATTTTCAAAAGCCACTTTATTATTATAAGTAAGGGTTGCAAAAGGGAGGTTTCTGAGCTGAGTATCGTCTTTGCTCTTAAAAAGGCAAGTTTTAGCACTAATGAATGATTCTACTCTGTTAATATCAGGAGGTAGGAAAGTAAGTTTACAATATACTGTTTTGCCCAGATCTAAAGTTAATTGTCTGACTCTTACTCCTCGTTGCCTGATTCTAACTCCTATTAAAATATAGAGGGAAGATTGGAAAAGGCTGTGTAAGTAAGAGTAAGTGAATCCTGTCCTTGTTAAATACAATAGGCTGTGTGCCTTTAGATGTTTTCTTAAAAGTTTCTGAAATTTGAGGAAACTTAAAAGGTTTAATTGTTTTGGACACTGGTCAGTGCCAAGCAGATAGGTTCCATTTGTTACTGCTA